AGTAGATAGATACTTAGAACAACGCTATTCGCTTGTCCTTCCAAACTAAGTGGGTGGTCGGGTATATATAGCCGACCGGCTGCTAAACGAAATACATGATAGAAAATAAGAATTAAACGCGGGGAGTCCATTTGACCCTGAAAACCATAACTACCTTGCTTACGGCTTTAGCCACAAAGCGGGGTAGTTGCCTGACAAATCCAACTAGAGATGCGGCTAGAACTTTATAGAAATCCAACTCCAAATATAGCTGCCTAACTAGCGTGTGGATGATCAGTCCGTGTCACGGTTAGTCCTCGGTCTTATGCATTAGAGCGGAATAGGACTAGCTTACCTGACTCCGTGACACTCTAGTGCGCCGTCCTGATATTGGGGATTTTGTACTAGATAAAGGCTGAGGTCTCGATATTGAAGTAACTTGTTCGAGCCACGATGGCAATCAGATTCTACAAGCGACCCTGGGCGTAATGTTGTAAAGCAAGTTGCCAAAGCGAGCAATGGGAGTTGAATTGCATATTGAAAGTTGCTTAACTCCCGGTAACCTGATGTCCAGTGATTATTCAAAATATGTATGGCATCAAGCGCGGTAAAGACAGGTTTTTTCTTCGGGTCCACTTTGCCTGTTTCCTTATAAAACTTTTTGATTGCCTAATTAAATGAAGATCAATATTTATATAGGCAACGCGAGGCTTTGTTTTACTTACCGCTAAAATGACCTTTGTATCCATTGTTTTCTGGTTTTGTGAACAGTATATAACTCTTAAGTGATTTAAGAGAGTCATGGTGGTGCTTTTTCTTGTATTTTGATGTGTTTTTCAAGGCAGTCCCATGTTGCCATGATGCAGAACTGCGTCTATATCTCCTTTCATGCGGCATTTGAGGTATGCGAATACAGCCTTTGGGTTCCGAATGGCATCCTCTAGTCCTAATTGTAGTACATCATTGCAAAACTTCTCCCAGTTTGCTTTAGTGTAGTTGAGTTTGCGGCGATAATGTGCCTTGAGCTCATTCTCATTCTCAAATTCCAGGTTATTCTCAAGGAGGCTACTGTAGGCGCTTGCCAGTTCTGGGTTGTAGCATTCCATTTTCTTGTAGAATCGGTAGAGAGGAGTGCAAACGATTGATGGTGAAAGAGCTGAGAGGAGACGATGGTGAAGTAATGAAGGAATATTTTGACGGAGGTCAATGGTAGCTTTATAATGGTTGATATAGGTAACCACTCCAGCTGGGTATGAGATAATAGCAAGCAGCGGCACACAGGGTCATTTGACTAGTATTCTCCCAGGGTATGGGGAAGAATGTGGGTGTGAGTTGAAGCCATAGTAGCCTTTTCTGATGAGTCTGATACGTGGCCTAGCAAAGCGCATGTGCCGTTTTGGGAAGTAGATAGAGCCCTTTTTGGAAACTCTGGCTCCCTTTCTGGCAGCTCATTAAAATAACTAGGTATTCTTGGGCCTAGCCCATTTCCACCTGCGAGACAGTGCTAAGCCCTTTAAGGCGCGCTAATCTTACGGCAGGAGAGTTCCTTCCACATGGTCACCCACTGTAGTACTAGCCTGGCGTTCTGAAGCTTAGATATGGCAGAGCGGACGGAATGCCTCGCAGTCTTCAGTCTATGGTCTTAGATGTCTGGATGTTCTTGTTTTCAATCACGGATCCATAGTAAAATCATTATTCACTAATTTCAACGTTTCTGGTATTGCAAATTTTAGGTGACTCGTATTAACGCGGTCGACGTCTGCGCATGCGACAGCCTTGATTTATTGAATTCGATTGCGCAAAAATTGAATACTGTAATCTACTTCCGTATAAATATATCTACTTACTTCTAATTATCTACCAATTGCTTTTCCAGCCAGATGGCTCAAATATATCCATCTACATCTTCTGTGCATCAATAGGGGTATTAAAACATGGAAATGCCTGTTTTCTGATTCCGTTTAATTTTGTTTGAATTTCCTCCTAAGTTTAAATATGAGTGGTAATTGTTTCTAATTTTTGAGGCCCCTATCTGATAGATATAGATCTCATGGAACTATATATAACTAGTAAGTACATAATATATCAAAATATATCTTCAAGCAAAAGTGACATTTTTGGTGTAAAAAGTGTGCTTTTTTTTGGAGAGCTAGGTTTGATTATTAAGACTGTCTTTTACGGCAATTGCTACAGTATCTTGCAGTTGTACTACAGATTACACATTTATCCATGAATTGGGGCCGAACATTTCGTTTTGTAGCCAGAAAAACGGATTTATCGGATTGAGCTAATATATGAACAAGAGGTCACGAGACTAGAACAGGAGGTACGTTTTCACAAATCCGAAAAATACGCTGGATTTTTGGATGTTTGACCATGAATAGTACCCCCTATTATTTTGAGATATGGTAGCGTTACAATTCAGGATATATATACCAGCGCTATATGTCTAGTCTGGTGTCTATATGTCCTGCTGCTCGAGGAGGTTTTTGCTCCACAGAGTACCTAAACTGATACGTGTCTAGCTCTGACTCCTTACCATACATGCATGCACTCAATAAAAGAACAAGTCGTGCAAGGTACTTTGGAAAACTCAACACGAACAAGAAAATACCATGCTAGTATACTGAAAACATGGACGGGTGTTGTATAATAGGATATCAGACATATGAATTTAGAAGTACCTAAGAAGAGGTAGGTTAAGCACATACTTATTTACCAAAAAAAAATGGCACAATACTGATATACACACACAGGGAATTCTACGATGAAAGTGTATTCGCAATGGCAGAAAGAACACGTAAGGTTTCCGGCGGTCACAAAAGCCATGTCAGAGGTACCCCGCCCATCAGACAGAACAACCCCAACATTGCCCAACTATATTTTGACATGAGAAATTTTTAAAAATTAAAAGAATTGAACCGCTATTGTATCCGCAACAAGGATAAGTGCTGCCATTACACCAGACAAGCATTTGTTGTATGTATTCAGAATGTTAGCCATTTTGATATGCGCTGCCCTCGCTTAATCCAATATGAATTATCCATCAAGGAACAATAGTATATATATGCCCCCCGCTATACTTGCTGCTCGTTGCTTGTCTATTGTCGAACACGGAGTGAAGATATCTGTGATTGATGCAAAGCCGTCAATACTCCACCATTCATTAATATCCTCCTTTCAGTATCTACTCAACTTCGGTTGTGTCGGTTCAGCGCGGACGAGGCCTTCTCCAGAGTTTTAGTTAAGATTTGAGAAAAGGAAAACCCTAAATTTTGAACCCCATACCCCAAGTAAAATGTTAAGCTAATTAGGTCGTCAGCAATTTGGTGTTCCAAGCTGAGACAAAAACTTTCTCGGTTCTTTATGGATTCATTCATGAAAACAGTACCCCACCTCCCAGATTTAGTAGACACAATAATTTGCTTCAAGTGACTTTTCAATCCACCATGGATGCACAATATATGCATAACAAGATTGTTCTCGTACGCAGACTGGAATGACGAGATCTACTTCTGAGACTAAATACTATTACAAGATACTTAGGTATATAAATTCCTTAGCATCGCTACATCAAATTGTTCCCAATACTCGTGAACAAACATTACCATTTTCAGTTTATAGCTGCTCAAGAGTTTTTTGAAGAGTAAAGTATTCTGCTTCCATAACCCTTGACCCCCTCTTTGGGATCTCAGGTATCGTAATTGATGATGGGAACGAGACCAAGGTGATGTTATGATTTCTATGGATAGATAGTTGCCATAAAATTTTAAAAATTAGGTACGTGAGAGCCAGCTCTGTAGGATGAAAGCTGAGAACAGATTTAAGATTTGAGCTTTTGGCCAGATTAAGTTTAATGTGTGTCTACAGTTGCGCCTTGCTATAACGAATCTCGTTGTAGCGGATCTCGTGGCATAATGAACAAAAGTAGCTGGATGCTTTTTGCAAGAGCAAAATCACTTTTGTTATAGTGGATAGTGAACTGAACAGCGTTGGAAATTTTTTTAATTGATTTACATCTAAATTGTGCTAGCTATAATGAATTTATGAGGAGATTTTTTTCTTTGGTTTAGGAAGCTGCACTAATTTTAACCGTTATATTCCTGTCAAAATTGAAGTAGAAATGGTTGTGGTACTTGAATTTGAAGTTGCAGTTTTGAGGTACAAAGGAAAGTTAGTGATGTCAAAAGTATCGTAGTCTCCACACCAAAAAGTGGGAGACAACATCAATAAAAATGGAGCTAGTGGCAATGCAGCCTAGCTCATATCGCCAACATTGCTGACTCAGTTCCCTTATACTGAACACACTGTCTAATGAACAAAAAGGGCGGGATTTCGGCTGTTTGTTATAGCAAGGCGCAACTGTATTTTAATCAGCCTTAAGCAGTTTAGTGCATTCTGCATCCTTGATTAGCCCTCCAGTCCAATTGCAAATTTCGAGATAATTAGAGTACGTCCGTTGAGTAACCGCTTTACTACAATATTCGCAATTAAGTCGGTTCACCAAGTGGAACCGGAACAACCATGTCTACTGGGATTGGACGAGACCCACTTTCAGCATCTGTTTTTCCATATAGGACTGACTGCCTAGGCAAGTATCTATATCTGTGAAAAATGATCAGGAAATTTTTGCAGGTCGAGGTTACCAACGCCCTATATTATGGACTTCATTTGCCACTACATTCAAGCTGAGGGAGTTTTCTAAACCTACAGGCAATTGATTGACTACTTAACATAACGTTGTGTCTTTCAAACCTGGCTGATTTCGGCCTTAAAACTACTAAGTAGGACACCCAAGAATCCACTACAATGCAAGCTAGGTGCTTCCCGTCAGTTTGACACCCCCCAATGCAATGTAAGTGAGTATATAACAATGATTTACTTTATTAGAAATAGATAAACTGCTAGCCTCGTCCTCAGATAAATTGCATTGTTTCCAAGATCTGCGATAGCCTTCAATTCTGATTTGAATGCGAGTGTGTTAAGACTAATGAGATACAAAAAGACAAGACAAAAGATGTCTCTTTGGCGGGAAATTGAACCCCAGTCCCTCGCACGCTGGACGAAGTATCCTGACAGGCAAAAATACTGACCACTATATACTACCAAAGACTGATGTATTCAAGTTGAAACAACAATATATAAGCCTGTGCAATAGTGCTAACACACACTCAAAGTAGTCTCATACCCAAAGCAGAGGCATTTGGGCCGAAAGCAGTAATGATTTGAAGTTAACTGACGTGCTATAGCCTCAATTCTGAAAACTGTAACGCTATCAGCGCCTAGTCTCATCGCCATATGACCTCAGCACGAAAAATACTCAATTGTAGCCAGCTCGTACTTAGTTGTACGAGGCTAGCGCCAAAAGTCGTGGGTCAACGCTGAAATTTCAGTGATATATTCTGAAGCAAAAACAAATCTTGAAGGGATTTGAAGCCCAGAGACTTGAGTACAATGATCCCGAGCCTGGTTGTGGAATCGAGGCTACTGGTTGTGTTGGATCGATTGTATCCATCCGATCATGTCTTCAAATCTGCCAGTGATGGCAATGATGCACATGGAAGTCCTGGTCTGAATAATCGGTTAGGTAGGCGAGTTACTGACGTCGACTTTCGAGTTCGCTTATAACGAACGTTACGTCGTCGCCATCGGAAATCTCGACACCTGGCCTCCTGTGTGGGAGTATATAAGACGTCACGTACGGCCACCGGTACCAAATACGTACTTACACTACCAATCACCATGAATTGTTATAATTTCGATACCACCGCGATCGATAGTCCAGTGCACCAGAACCGATATTCTCGTTGCATGTGCTTGCAATATCAGCTGCTACGAAAACACCAACAATACGGAGATAGTTACAACAATACGACGAGTGCATGCGTATAATGACCAGACAAGTAGCCAACAACCATGAGGGCAAGAAGGAGGAGATGATAATCGCCACCGGCCACGAGACTATCGCTGGCGGTGAGGAGGACAAGCCTAAGCTGGACTGCACGTGTAGCCTGGCCTGCACGTGGGACGTGCGATGGTACTTCATCTGGTAGGTGGTCTCCGAAACTGGCAGCAGCGTTCACGCTCCGTGAATACGGATGGAGGAACGCGCGCACGCACGCACGCAGCGGGCTGCCCGAAAGGGTAGCTGAGCTCTACTGGCCCTCCCCGATCCCCCATCCCCATCTCCTGGCCTCACCCCTCCATCCCGATCTCCATCCCCATCCCCATCACCAGCAGCCTGTACCATCCCCTCACAAAATCACTTCACCACCAACGAAATCTCTTACTCACAGCCATGCAAATCACCAGCACCATTCTCATTAGCCTGGCTTTCGCCGCCGGTTTCTTCGCCTCCGCCACGAGCGGTTTCGCCGGGGATGTCGAGACACCTCCCTCTGTGCCCTTCGCTGGCGCAATGGGTGGTGCTCGCGTGGGTTCTGCCCACGTTTGCGGATGTGGGATCAAAGTGGCACATCACTGTGGTACGTTACCTGATGATAGGATGGCTGTGGCCCATGGTCATCCGCTCTTGAGCTGTGAAAGATCTTTAAGCTAACCTCGTGTGAGTCGCCGACTGGGCCGTATTCATGGCCAACACCGCTGAGGCCCTCCCAGCCTGCACCACCTGTCACTGCTCCACCTGTCCAGCCTGCCCTCCCTTCCCACAGAAGAAGGAGGGGGTTTGGGAAGTGGTTGGGCCTGGGCTCCTGCCTGCCCTGGCGAGTATCTTCGGTTTACTCTCCACATCCTTCATAAACCACGTTTATGAGCGGAGGAGAAGGCAGGGGAGTGGGGCGCAGAGGGTAGAGAGGGAGACGGAGAGGGTGCAGAGGGCGGTGGAGGTGGCGAGGAAGGAGCTGAATGCGGAGAGGGAGAGGGAGGCGGCGAGGAAGGAGCGAGATGCGGAGAGGGTGCAGAGGGCCGCGGAGAGGGAGGCGGAGAGGGGGGAGAGGGCGGCGGAGAGGGCGGAGAGGGAGCGGGAGGCGGCAAGGAAGGAGCGGGATGCGGAGAGCGTGCAGAGGGCTGCGGAGAGGGAGGCGGAGAGGGGGGAGAGGGAGAGGGCGGCGGAGAGGGCGGAGAGGGAGCGGGAGGCGGCAAGGAAGGAGCGGGATGCGGAGAGGGTGCAGAGGGAGGCGGAGAGGGAGAGGGCGGCGGAGAGGGCGGAGAGGGAGCGGGAGGCGGCGAGGAAGGAGCGAGATGCGGAGAGGGTGCAGAGGGCTGCGGAGAGGGAGGCGGAGAGGGGAGAGAGGGAGAGGGCGGCGGAGAGGGCGGAGAGGGAGCGGGAGGCGGCAAGGAAGGAGCGGGATGCGGAGAGGGTGCAGAGGGAGGCGGAGAGGATGGAGAGGGAGGTGGAGAGGGTGCATGTTGAGTAGATTTTGTACTGTCGGACAAAATGAGGCGTTGGTCGCTTGGGATTGGGAGCTTGATGGCCTCAAGTATAGCTCTGAGCTCGGTGTTGAATACAGTGTGGAGTCTGCCTACCTAGATAGCCGTTTGTACTGCCTCCGGAGTGGTAGATGCCCTATGCTGATGCATTGTGGCGGAGGGTTCCATTCGTTCTCCTATGCTGTCCCGTTGGAAAGGGCCTTCCTCGGCCGTTGTGTGCATGGACCCGTCGGTTTAGACCGGGTACCATCCCTATTCGATGAGTTCTTGGGTATTTGTGACCCATTGGTGAACCCCGTCTTCTGATTTGCCTATGATTATATTTTTGAGTTCCAAACGTTTAATAGCGTACCTTTGTTCTTGTGCCAAGCGTAACCTACTTGATAGAATTGTTCATATTTGTTCATATTTGTTCATGTGGCTATGCTTACCAACGAGATTCAATTGTGCCGCTACTACAGAACCTTAGAGGTTCCTAGGGACGAGGCGAAGTAGGGTTATAGGTTCTGCAACTTCCGCTCACTGAGCCTTTGGATTAAGTGCTGATCAAGAGATATCGTTTTTCAAATCAGTCAGATTCGCATGCAAACGCGCAACATGGACCGCATTCTCACCGCATGCTTGGTTGTCGTCCTCGACGAGAGGCAATCGGTATTCGAGATACCTTGTATTTGTGTGGGCACAGCAGTGGCAGATATACTCGTGGTGTACATGTCGCCGGAAAGTACGGACGCAACGTGATCGATCGGAGTGCAAGAAAAGGAGTTTGTTGCAAAGGAGAGTCACGTGGTGTACGTAAAGTCTAGCTGGCCCTTGAACTCGTTAAACGCCATTCGGTTAACCTACTACTTCACTATACCCGTTGCTGACTAGTAGCACCCACTAATAGTACGACAGGAGACTCCACGTTCTCTCCTATAGTACTATTAGTGTGACTTCGCTGTTGAGTGTCGACACCCAGCATAAGGCTACCTACTCTGTACAAGTGAAGTATATAAGGTCACTGGAGGGACTTACCACTCCTGCTCAATACCGCTCAGCTCAGCATCCATCAGGAAAAAGGGTGGTGTGCCTTATGACCTTACAACGCCCGTACCATATTGCATTACGTAACGACCCGACATGGGATAACGACCTCTTGGCGAGGCGCTTATCCTGAAACAGTAATATATAGAAATGATATCAATAACAACAACATAAAAACACAATAAAGAGATATATAGCAAATCAAACATGCAGAAAACGATAAAACGCAAAAAAACTACCAAAAAACGACATATTACCCTGATAACTCCTACCAAATGACGATATTGCCCTCAACCCCCCCCATCCCCGCAAACCCCCCCCCCTCCATGGTGAGCCGCTCCTAGCAGCCTACGAGATGCGCGAATTCTGCCCAGATCCCGGTACTAGTTGAGAGTAAATTAGCTCTCAATCACATGCACCTGGTATAAGGATACCTACCCCCCATGATTTCCAAAAATTCCCTCTCACAGGCCATGTTTTCGAGTTCGAACTCATCAGTAACTATCAAGGACATCTCAACCTCTTCTGGAATTTCAACTTCAGGAACAACCCTTTTGGGCTGCCTCTTCCTGATGGTTTTTGTTCCAATCCGTAAGGCCTTGTCCTTGGCCTTCCTTTCTCTCTCAGCAGCTCTTTCTGCCTTCTTTTCAGCTTGTTCAACCTTCTTTGCCTCAAGGGCTGCTCGCCGCTGTTTTTCAGCCACAATATAGGCTTGATCGAGCGTTCTGGGTCCCTTAATGAGCTTAAGGGAGGCTGGTTGGACTGTAGCCCCACTTTTGAGAGCTAAAAGGGTTTTTGAATTGGGATCAATAACACGATATGCCACAACCCTTGATTCAACAAATGTTGTATACTCCGTAAGCAGGGCCTGAAAAGAGGGCGTCAGGCTCAACTGGGCAAGCTTGGCCCCCAATTGCCTCATTTTTGCTGGCGTTTTGGGCTGTGTTTGGGGGCCTTCGGCGGATCCCAGCAATTTAGGAATCACATGATCCACATCAATTGGCCAGCAACCGGAGGCCTTGAAGGCATTCTGGATGGACACAGGGTTATAAACCTTCTTGCGAGCCTTGAGAAGAACTTTCAAAAAGCTGGGTTTGCGGAATGGATCCCGGGGATGCTTGTACACCCATTTCTGCAGATATTTCTTATATGCAGCTGCCAGGGGCCCAAATAACCCTACGTCGAGAGGCTGCATAACATGGGTGCAATGAGCCGGAAGGCAAAGAAGCAGAATTTGGTGATCAAGGGCATGTTCCACGACCTCCCATGACAAATGTGAACTATGACCATCTACTATCAGCAATCTCCATGGAGCTTCACTGAAAGAAGAATTGTTTCTGGGGTTGATTGATCTTGTCTTGGGTTCAAAGTGTTTATAAATGAAATCAAATCCCAAATCTTTATCCATATATCCGCTTGGTGAGTGGGAGAAGCTGGCGTCGATGATAAGGTCGTCAGGGTCAGGATAATAGCCGTCGCGGTGGGATTTGGCCTTCCAAATGATGAATGGTGGGATAACAATGCCATCCGCACTAACCGTTTCGAGCACAGTAACAAATTCTCGCGATCCTTGAGTCGTAGCAACCTTGCGCCTGGCGCCTGATCTGACGATATGCTTGGGCCGACCTGTCGCGATACCCATAATAATACCCTTCTCATCACAATTCCATATATTGTCGGGAGTGATATTCAACCTG